CGTGTGTGTGCGTTGTTAGTTGTTCTGACGATTGATTTTCTAAAAGCCCCAACGAACAACCTCGTGATTACTGCTACAATTAATAATTGTCTCAGTAAACCCATCAAACCACTACAGCATAGTACATACCTCTATCAAGGCCACATCAAGATCCACATGCACTGGGAAAACACTGTATCACACAAAATACCTTACAACAAGGTTTAATTTATGATATGTGAATAATCTGACTATTTTACTACTGACTACGCTATCCATTGCAAATACAGTACATGGAAGATAAAATATAAATAATATAATTAATTATACAATGCCTTACAAAATATTTGTACCCTTACTTTGGTGACTAATTTAGTAAAATTACCTGTAAGGATACAATAAACTATAGTAAATGTCAACAAATACTAAAGATAAATAAATTAAATGTGATTAACAGTATTATTTTCCCTATATATAATTTTTTGCATTCAGACAAAAATGTTTTTACTGTATTTAGTCTCACCAAACAATGTTTGCCATTATCAGTCTAGTGATTTGGCACAGCCAGTATCAGTTACTGTAAATGCTTTGTTGCAAACTCCATGCAGGATTTAAGTTTTTTACTATTGACTTTACTCTTGGAATTTTTCTCCTGCCTTTACCATGGAATCCCTTACCAGTTTTCCTTCTTGTTTCCTTCCACTTACTGTATTAATGGTCAACGTCACCGTGAATATCCATACAGATATTCAGTATTTTTGAAACGTGTTATATCCTTCTCCTGAACTGTTCCATTTTATAACATTATCCCTGGATTGTTTTGAAATTTACTCATGGATCAATGAGGATCCATGATCTTAATCTTTTAATGTTTGCTTGAAATTGCTTGAGGGAGCTAACAGAGACAGGTCTGTGTATTCAGTATATGAACCACAATTATTGCACAAAGAGGTCATTCAACTAATTGTGTGAAATGATGTGCACCTGAACTATTTAAAGTTTGGTATAGTAGAGAGGGTGAAGACTTATGTCACCAACTAATTTTAGATTTAGAGTTTTCTTTGCAGTTACTGTACTTTTCTTCACTTATAAAATTGATCAGTTTGAACCTTCCAGTTTTGATTATAAAATTCAGTTTTAAAATATATATTGAGATTATTTGTAATTCAACAAAATGTAAAATCATTGGAAGGGCTTGCATACTTTTGAAAGGTACTGAATGTATGGGAACCCTGCCTTTACTGTGCCTTGGGAGATTGGTAACAACTGCTTTATCATAACAAATTAGGCAGCTAGATGGACAGAATACTTCAATGCATAGATACATTGTTTTTTGAGACAAATAGTTAAACAAAGCAATTCGTTTCAAAATAAATGTGCTTCCAAATACCTCGGTATGACCTAAATCCTAATGCATTAATGATTATACTTGTCAATTGCAGCAAAAGGTCTTATACAGTAATTAAAGATAAAATAATATAGCATCTTAAGGCATCTTTCATTTTATGACATCATTACTACTTTAGTTCCATGCATATCTCAAAGAAAAAAGACTGTAATTATGTTGTTCCACTTATCTTATCAAGACCCCTAACAATTCAGATTTGAAGAAGCCATATAATCTGTGTCACCATTAAACACTCATGCAGGTTTAGTTAATCATCTGAGGTGCAAGTGTGTTTATTTTATACTTTTCCCAATGTAAATTTTAGACAATATAATTGTGCAGTACAAATGATAGTACTACAGCATTAATACATAACTTTCATACAACATATGTAATATATCCTAGAAAATAAATATGAAAATAAATTAAATAAATAACAGTTGCATTAACTAATTTCTCTTCTTTGATTTGCAGAATTAGCTTTAGAAATATTTCAGAAAAATCATTTAAAATGTGTATATCTTTAAGGGGAAAGGGTTAAGTAAAATGTACTTTAATCAGTAACTACTTAATAATTTACAGTACTTGATGAGTATACTATAAGTAATATTTATATTGCCTTTCAACTTGCTTTTTTGTAAATACCTGTTTTAGGAAGCCTTTCTCAGCTTTTAAATTACATATTTCACAGAGTTCAATGACCTAGTTGACCTAGCCTTGCATATACTATATCTGGCATTTTCACACAAAACATTCATGTATAACTTGACAGGGGATTATTAAAACATATTTTACTATGGGGCAAAGTGTCTTCTGGAAATTATATTTGAAACTGTAAAAAGCAGCCGATACAGGGCACTTGTTGTAATATTTATCAAACAGTATATAAGAATTCACTTTTACTTACCAAAAGTACAAGAATGACTGGTCCCTGATAGATGTAGTCAATATATTTCCCAGGTTCTTTACCAAACCAGCATCTGTGAATATTTTCAAATAACAAAAGTGTTTCTGAATTTCTACAATGTATGTTAATTCCTCTTTTCATCTCACATACTGTAGATACTGTTGTTTTAGAGAAAAAAAAACATTAATAATTTACAGAATGTTAGAAATAACAAGCTCAAGTGACAGATGTACAAGTAATGAGCAGCATTTATTTTTTAAATAAAAAATTGCTTTTATGTGGTGACCTAATTCTCTAAGAAACCTCAAGTGTTGTCCTTGTAGAAATTGTTAAAGAAATCACACTTCAGGTTTCCATTGACTATTTTGTTTATTAAAATAACATGAAATGGTGAATTTCAATGTAAAAACATTATTTCTATATTTTTCTTATTTATTTATATGGTGTATTAGGGACATATGGTGGATCACACAGAGAGATTAAATGTTTCCTGTAATTTTACTACTGAATACTCTTTTCCATATACTGTAAGTTCTGTTATCTTTTAAAATAATTTGTTATTATTACTGTTTTGAAACAATGTCACCTACTGATAATTCAGCAACATTTTTTGTAAAATATTTGTCAAATATGCAGCTGATAACAATACATTGTTCTTATTCTTTGATTTACTGAGCATCAAATTGACTTATCACTTTATATATAATCATATATATTTCTAGGAACATAAAATACACAAATGGATTCAAAATGGATTAAAAGCTTTGGAATTATTTTAATTAATCATTCATGGCAGATCATGAGTGACTTTGAATGACTCTGTCAATCAATTTTCTTTAACTCATTTATCCAGTGTAGGATTGCAGGGGAGCGCAAAGTGGGGGCTACCCTGGATAGGATGCCAGTCCATCACAAGACACATAAAGACACAAATACACACACAATCACACCAGGGACTAGCTTTCCCCGCAGCCAATTAACCTACCAATATGTCTTTGATCTGCAGGAGGAAACCAGAGTACACAGAGGAAACCCACACAAACATGGAGAGAACATGCAAATCCCACATAGATAGCACCCCACGGCCTGAATCCAGAGATCCAGCTTTGTGAAGCAGCAATGCTAACCACTGTGCCACCATGCCACCCTTGACAGTTCCACCTGCACTAAATTATCTCATTAGTAAGAGAGCTGTTTAGACACAAGTAATGACGTAATTTTGTGATGCATACTATGGAATCAATGATGCACAACTTGTCTTGCTCTTTTTACTGACTACATACAATATGATACTAGCCTCTGACTGTCACAGCAGACTCTATGTTGATCATTAATTATCCTATGTCTTATTTCTTAAATAAAACGTCAGTATATCTACTACAGAAAAAGTCATTTTAGTAATAAAAATCTATCAAGGAAATGTGAGTATGTTAATTTGTTGCAGTTATGAAAAGTCAGTTTTTTAAGTTTAGTATATTATAATGTTGAACATATGAAATATCTTTCTGTTTTGCTATACAAAAGCAGAACACGGAAAATATGTTTAGCCCTTTAAGCACATTGTTGGGATTTCAAATGGAATGAATTCTTATAGTGATTTAATTTTGTCACAAATGACTTTTAACAAAGGCATTTCATGTATATGAATGAAGAAGAATGAAGGCAAAAGAAACCATCTTGCTTCCTGTCAAGAGTATTTAAATAAAATTCAGTATTATTTCTACATTTTCTTATGTTCAGCTTCAAATAAACAATGGTCTACTTCCTTAGCATACTGTAAATACAAAGAATGTGTTTTATGTACAAGACTAATATTACTGTATGTATGTGTTGTGTTGTGATCAAACATTTATACAATATATAACCTTACATACTGGACCAAAGTTGACTTACATTTCCTACTTTTAAAAGAACATTACTAAACATCAGTTTGATTTAGATCCTGTATATTGATTATGTGAAGAGTATCCCAGGAGGCACAAACGTCCCTCAGGTAATAATGTTTTTTTTTTAAATAATAAAGAAAGATTAAAGGAATCTTTAAGTCAGAAAACATACTTTTTATTATAGTCATCTGTAAAGAATCAAAAGTGTGTTTCAAAGATATCTGAGGTGTAGTACAACTGCTAGCACAAAGTGGCTACTGTACAGGATGTCACCCAGTTGATGGTTTCACCATAGCGGTAGATAAATAAACAAGTTGGCTCCTAGCAAGTCTTCTTTAGCTCAGCTGGCAAGACCCGGGTTCGAGCCAATGCAGTAAGGCATGAACTAGGGTGGGAGCACCGAGGGCACAAGCCCTAGAACCAGAATCTGTTACAATAACAAATGTGAGATATGAAGTCGCAATTCTGTGATATAAAGTCGCAATCGCAAGATACAAAGTCGCAATTCTGAGACATAAAGTCGAAATTGCGAGATATAAAGTTGGAATTCTGAGATACAAAGTTGGAATTCTGAGATACAAAGTCGCAATTGCGAGATACCATAACGTGTTTTGTTTTTTTTTACTCCCTGGCGGAAATGGGCTTCCATAGACTTGTGGCATACAGTTTGAAATAAAGATAAACTTCAATAATTTTACATTTTCTCATGTTTATAGATACAAGACATTAGGGAATTCTTAGTACTTAAAACTTGGAATTTGAATATTCACATTTTATTGTTTCAATGGTAATAAAAAGTGAATGATTGTAGTTCTCAGGCTTTAAGAAAGAGTGAATAGGAGCCGTGTTTACTATGCTGTGGGAGGAGGGAGATAAAAGACAGGTAGGTAGAAGCAGAAGGAAAATAAAGACAGAGACAGAACAGAAAGAGAAAGAAGAAATGTGACAGGCAAGAGAACCTTGTTTGGATCAACCTTAATAAAAGACCAGATTGTAGCAAAGTATTTGAACCTTGTTTAAGGGAGTTCTGTTATATTGGGTAACTGATTTCCTAAAATAACTGAGAATCCCCAGGCTAAAGACATTCTCTCCAGGTTAGTGATACTAGAGGGAGATAGATTCTCATTCACTTTGGAGCATCCAGATTAAAAAAAGGGAAATACCTGTATAGCTCTGGGTCATATTCTGTTTTATTTAGGATGCAGGACTCTTTTGTTGGCTTGTTTAGGCATACTTTATCTGATTTCTGAATATTGCATTTGTGGTTTGGGTTTATGGGTCCATCAGGATGTAGGCTCTGAGATACCTTGTTTCATAAAAAAGTTAGTTACGTTTTTGTAATAGTCATTGTTAATTAATATTTATCTATCCTAGTTAGCTGCTAATTTGTCACTGTTTGCCAGAGCTGTGCCACTGGACAAAGGTCAGGTGCCTCGAAATTTTATCAACCACTGAGGTATATTCTTGGCACATGTTTGGGAATTGGGGGTTATAACTGTTATTTAATTAGTGTTTATTCCATATTTTTGTATTATCCAAAATTTAATGTGAAATTACAAAACAAAATAGTTCTTCAAATGAGAAACTTGTAAACATTTAACAAAACACTGTATTGAGTCTGTATTAAAAGAAGGGAGCTAAACTTGTTTAGTGTTTCCACAACACTTCCATGCTGTAAACAACAATATTCTAATACTGCTAGCTACTGCTATTGCTACTTTCTGTTCTTGTTAATGTATCACTTGCAATCCAAAATTTGACTTTCATCCTTGCACAGTCTTCACAAAGGTTGCAGTTATGACAGTTATTAACAACAGTTAATATTTTTGTTCACACATTCAAACCCAAAAAACAATTTAAGTACACAAAATTACCTTAACAAGTCACAAGAAGTAGAGTAACCTTGTGTGTAATAATAGTGGTTCTCATAATTTCATAATAAAAGTGAATTAGTACATTTCAAGCAAAGACTAGGGAGCTTTCAAAACAACCAAGGAATAAAGTCATTAAAAGGCAAAGTCATCCATAGGTTACAAATATCTAGAGGACTCTGAATATCCCTGTGAGCATTATCTATTTAGTTATCAAGAAAAGGAAGGTTAATTTTATCACCCAGACACTTCCAAGATCAGTCTATTGTTTCAAAGTGAGCAGCCAAGCAAGCAGAAAACTGATGAGGCAATACACTATGATGCCAGTAACAATTCTGAAAGAGCTACAGAGCTCAATGGCTGAAATGAGAAAAAATGTGCTTCAGTCAATAATATCCCAGTCATCCCTAAAAGCTGCAGATTGTAACAAAACACTTGAGTGGTGTTGAGGCAAAAGATGAGGCCAAACTGGTCTAAATGCCAATCATTACATTTGGCGCAGAAACAGCACAGCATTACTCCCAGTAAACACCACCCCAAAAGTCAAGTGAGGTGGCAGGAGCAACATGGAATGGACTGAGGATTCTAAAGCTAGTTTAGATATGTGTAGCTACCGTATGTGATTTTTTAATAATCTTACAAAAATATTTTAACATACTTACTGTTCATTTTCATTATAGAGCTTGCCTATAGCCCAAGCCACTATTATTGGACATGGAATACCTGTAAAGGACATATGACAGAAAACATGCAGTTATTTTCTGAATGCCAGATATGTTATAAATTAACATTATGTAGAAAACATGAATCAAGTACAATAAGTATCAAGTGAAGATTTTTGTGTCTCTAACTTGGTGCAACTGAGTGATTGTAAATTTGTAATATTTTGTAAAATCTTAAAATATCAGTGTATTTTATAGTAAAGCAATGTAGCACATTTGTGTTTTAACAATAGTAAGTCACTGGTACATATATCACAAGAAAGTGACCATATATGTCTGATCTGATCTTTTTTTGTTTAATAATATCAAGTTCCTTAATAAAATGTACTGAATTTGAGAGATGTTTTGAAAAAAAACTTAAATATAGGAAATAGGAGGAATGTCAATCTGATATCCATAGAAAATTGCTTCTGAAAACCTGGAACAATAATTCTTTAAATGCAAATGCAACCTATACTGAAGTAATTCCAGTCGTTTTCCATATTAATATGACTGTCCTGAAGAATTTAAGTAATATTTGTTTTCATGTATCCAGTAATATTAGAGCTTGCACATCTCTGAAGGTCTCTCTGATGTCTGATAATTATATGCAGTAGAATTAAAAGTGTTTATCTTCCTGAAAGAAGTTTGTCAGTTAAATAAAATCCTATTATTTATGCTGTAAAGTGATTATAATGACTTTATATTTAAAGTTCATTCTAAATATTTGGTTGAATAGTCCTTATAATAACAGCATACTCTTTCTGGTCTAGCTTTCAGGAGAGTTGGAAATATGCTTTACATGATTATTGAGCTTTTCTTTATTTTTTAAAGGAAAACACTATATTAGAATTTCATTTTCAATCTTCAAACTTCAAATTGAGACCCTTCTTCTCCAGGACTTCTGAAACCATGCTGAGCCTCTGCAAACATTGTATAATTCAATCTTTGAGAATTCTTGAGTCACTGTAGTGCCCTCCCAGGTTGGGATATTTTAAAGTGTTATTCCCAAGTTTAATAAAATCTACTGTACCTTGGATCTCTGGTTCTGTTGCATATTGTTTTGGGCACAGGATACTTTGATTATTGTGAAGAAATAGACTCATGTATCATGTATGGGAGTCTACTGTCTAAAATGCCTGGGGCTCCAGCATGTATGCGGGATCCTAGAGGGTCGTTTATTGTACTATGTTTGTACAGTTTTCAGAACAACGATACCAGTGAAGTGGAAGTAAGCTGAAAGGCTCGAATCTTCCAGTGTTATAGTTAAGAAGATCCTACTTCTTTGCAACATCCAGGATGATGCTTTGCTCAACTGCCATTCTATGCTCCAGGCATTGCTCCTCAACCCACAGTGGGTAACTGTGGCTGGCCCCACTTGCACAGCCCCTTCAGTGTGACAGCTGCCACACCAGATGTTGCTGGATGAGCACCACTCTCAGGAGAACTCCTCCAGATGCCCTACCTACTTCTTGCTGCAGATGCCTGACAAATGAAGCAGTCACCATCCTTCCCCTGTTGCACAATCTACAGCCTCCCAACACCTTGGCAGTACAGAAATACTCCTGGGTATTGTCTTGTACATGGGTATCATGCTGATCAGAAATCTCAGTCTACACTCAGACTTTGAATTGAGCATTTCAGTGCAAGCAAATGTTTAACTTCAATTAGTTATTTTGTCTAGTGTTCTCCCAGTGTGTCTTTTGCACACTAATCCCTACCAGGCTTGAACAGGCTTGCCCTTATTCAGAAGGGCAACAATCTAGTATGCAAAGGTGACCTATTTTTGGTCCAACGTCCAGGGACTACAGCCCAGCAGTGAAATTTTATCTAGGTGTTCCAGACAGGGCTGTTTGGCAGTTCCATCTGGCAATGGTGAAGGAGCATTATCCAACAAACCACATTCTACATTAAGAATTTGTAAAGACAACTTCTGTAACAACAAACTATAAACCACTATGCATTGTTTATTGTTGGCATAGTCCAAGCAGATGTCTTGAGCATTACAGTAAGTACATTCTCAGAATAAACTCGTTACTGTAGTACTTTTAGTGAAGCAAAAATTGCATTCCTTGTAGGTTGTGACAACAACAACAACTTTGTAATGACTATTGTAGTAAACAAATTAACTACTTCATAAATAAGCTAATACACACAGAAATGATCATACCCTTGAGAATTTACTGCAATTATTACATGGACTTTATAGGAGCAGAACTAATAGCATCATGCATTTGCACATTTGATCTTCAGGAAGGTCATAGTAAATAACAAGGACAAAAAACCATTGAAAGCATCCAGTGAATGGAGTGAATAGTCTTTTCCACACAGACAGTTCTTCCCTTCTAAAACAAATACTTCTATAAAACCAACCAACTAGTTCAGTTAAATTGAATATACTGTAATTCAGTCATGAACAGTCCATTTTTCTAATCAGCATATTAACTATTGTAGGAATACTGGAATATTTAAATGGAGAATAAGCAGTTGCTGGAAAAATTGAAAGATTAATCTTTAACAAGTAGGATTCTTTATATACTGTAGTTTTTCTTCTGATAAATGTGTATTTGTAACTAAAAAATGTAAGACGGTAAAACAAACTAAATAGTAAAGCCTTTACCGATTGTGATTTTTTTCTTTCATGATTAAAATGTTTAATGATACATACTTAAATGTAAACAACTAAAAATTATATTTTATCCTTCACATAGGATATTGTAAATATAATTCAGAAAATTATTTTTATTTCTCAGCATATGAAACATAAGACCATAACAAAAGTATGAAAACAAAAGAAAACTATTCAGCTTGTGAAGTGTAATAAACTAATGTACTGTAACACATCTTATTTATTTTAATATTTTATGACAATTAGAATCATAATTTAGTATAAAAAAGTAATATTCATAGTACTCTCTAATGATCTTAAATATTTTTCACAACAACATCATGAAACAGATAAAAATCCACTTACACCAACCAATGAAAAGGAAGACCCATTTTCTCAGCTTGTCTGTGGAATAGGTCATTACTATAGCTGTGTGGAGGTAACATCCTTCAACAAACATCCAAAAGAAATTGGTCACTACAAAGTAATTATATATTGTCGTAATAAGGCGACACCAGGGCTGAAAAATAAAACAAAAAAAGTGTTACACTACAACGTTTGATATAAATCAAATTGACCAAAATTAATATCACAATATTATATTAATTTTATAATTATATTTATAATTGTTTTGAAAGTATTACACTTTTTTGTTATAAATGTTTAATCAGTAAATGAAAAGCGACTTATTTTGTTTTTCTTGTATTGATACAATAGCTATAGCTTTTCCATCTAAAATAATATCTCTCACAAGCAATCACATAATTCTTGGTTATCATGAAAATGATATCTCATTTTTGATGTAGATGGTATTGTAACAGATCTCCTCCAGACAAGAGAGATTATTGTTGAAGTGGTCTAGCTCCTGCTCCTCATGGAGAGCATAATTTAGTACACAGACAGTCAACCAAACAGGATATATTTGGAAGGGAGGAGTTACTAGTGAAAACCTACACAGGCAAGTGAAGAACAAACAACTCCACTTATAGGAGGCGCCGTCCTTCGGATGAGACGTAAAAACCGAGGTCCTGACTTTCTGTGGACATTTAAAATCCCAGGGCGTTTCTCGAAAAGAGTAGGGTTGTAACCCTAGCATCCTGGCCAAATTTCCTATTGGCCTTTATCATGGCCTCCTAATAATAATCCCCATCTATTAATTGGCTTCATTACTCTGCTCTCCTCCTCACTGATAGCTGGTGTGTGGTGAGCGTTCTGGCGCACTATGGCTGCAGTCGCATCATCCAGGTGGATGCTGCACATTGGTAGTGGTGGAGGGAGTCTCCATTACCTGTAAAGCGCTTTGAGTGGAGTGTCCAGAAAAGCACTATATAAGCGTAAACAATTATTATTATTATTATTATTATTATTATTATTATTATTATTATTAATAATAATAATAATATTAATATTGATAACCCATAACCTGGCTTAAAATGCATTAAACGTGTTGCACTACAGTATAACAATATTAAACAAAGACAGGTCCATATACTGTACTGTACATATGCTACTGTATATATATATAATATACTGTACATTAGTGAGATTCCACTCTGTATATTGACTACAGATATTTTCCAGCTCCCAGTCTGTCAAGTTTCCTGTTCGAGGTGTTGACAAAGAGAATACAAAAATTGTCCATGTTTGTAGTACATTTTTATTATTTTTGTGTGTGTTTTACCCAATACCTATCAAGAATCAGTGTTTTCAAAATTATTGTAAAATTATAAAACTGAATAATAAATTATGTGATTGGACAATTTATGATGAATCATTTAAATGTTGTCAGCCAAAACAAGGTGTTAAGTAATGCAGTTAGGTGAAACATGTTTTTTTTTTATTGTTTTAACCCTTTACCTTTATCCTTGTATCTGATGGGTATGGGTGGAGATTTGTAGCACATGAATTATGTATGAGTATGAAGTATGAGTGTATTAACAGTGATTAAAGTATTTTATGATATTAAACTACAGATGATAATTATTTGGTTTGAATTATTTTTGCTAATATTTAAAATAATGCATGTTTATTATCCTGATGAAGGCACTTTTTTGGCGAAACTGGTTCACATTTTGGAATAGCTTTACTGAAATCGGTAAATAAAGAATTTTATAAAGCATGCTTTAAAATTTCAACACATTAATTGTTTATCTATTTCATTATATAAAGTGTTGAAAGTAGTATTTTCAGTGTGTTCTCTGAAGCTTTAGGCAAACTAAAGCAGTGCTTCTTAGCTCTAGACACAATGAATAGCTCAGAAAGTTAATAAAGAATATAATGCATAATGGGTGCTTAAAAAGAGAAGAACATTAACAAAGGTCACTCTAACAATATTCCTATTCCAGCAATAAATCTGCTGAACCGTGTTACAGTATATTTCACTGCTGGCAGTGAAAGATGACATGAGATCTGCCTTCTGGTGGAAACTGGATGCCAAATCTCCTGCCAGCAGAGACAAACATTTCCTGAAAGAAGTCCACCTCGCACCATCTTACACATATTTGCACCCTTACAATAAAAAATCGCATGATGCAAAGTAAGAAGAAAAAACACCTCAGCCGAGGAGCTTTCTTCAGGTTGATAGGAAAAATGGAAAGAACATTAATACAAATCAAAGTAATGGGACAGAGAAGACTAATGTGAGAAAGTGTATAGCTTGGTGAAAATGAGTTTAAGAAATGTAAAGCACAGATTTTAGAGCAAGCCTGGAAAGCAGGATTTTGTAAATTGAGAAACAGAGAAAGAGATTACATTTCGCAGCTAGTGTCTATATCAGAAGAAATCAAAAGCTACAATTATCCTTAAAAGTGGCAATTTACTGTACTCTTGATATAAATGAAGCTGACCAGAAATTGTTTGAGAGATGTACTGTATTTAATTATTAATGTAGTTTAATAATTTGCAGATATGATGGAAGAAACCTAGAAAAAGAATAAGTCTGATACAGGACATGTCTGGGAAAGCAAGAAGCAGCACTGTCAGTGATCAGGTCCATCACATTCTGAAATTACATCAGTACAAATGGCATCAGTACAAATGGCATCTGCTCCTGGAGATAAAAGCATTTTCAGAAACCTTATAACAAACCTGTATCATGCTGTGTCATTTATTGACTTGTTCTAATGTGATTGTAGAGCTTAACTCTTTGTCCCTCAGCTCAGCCAAGCTGTTTAAACATTCAGTGTATTGTTATTATTAAAGAAAATAAGATTTTTTTTTACCAATTTTTTTGCTCAATTGAGAGTCATCTGGTAAAGTCTGTTGTTATTTTATTCAATTTAAAATCCCTCAATGAGTGACAAGTGATGGATTAAACTATGGAACATGCATAAGCAAATATTCATAAATGTCCAGAATGTGCATATTCTAAGAAGTTAATACCTGTAGTTTTGCTCTTGTGCATTGACGTATATATTTTCATAAGTAGTTCAGGTGGGTAGCTGCATCAGCATGTGTAGGCTGCAAAGGAACAAGTAATAGGTTTATTCCATGCTGAAAAAAAGAAGAAAGAGAACACAACGTTTTGGCCGTGTTGCCTTCTTCACACCTGAAGAAGGCTCCACGGCCTAAATGTTGTGTTTTCTTTCTTCTTTTTTTCAGCATGGAATAAACCTATTACTTGTATATTTTCATAAGACATATGATAAAATATGAAATGTCATATATATCTCCTGAAAACAATCACGGCAACATGAAAGCTGATCACATTTTTTGTAAAGGCACATCTAGTTTCTTCAGAGCTGAATTATACTGGATGGAACTGCTGTCTTCTGTAGCAGGTCTAAGATGTGATGAAACACACAAGATTTCGGAAATGCATTAATTGATATTTTATTAAATGTACCTCATTAAACTGTATTGAATATATACTACTGTATATAAAAAACATTTTTAAAATTGTACTTTTTCATTGCCTATAGTAAATTGCATGGTGTGTATTATGTTAGCTATAAGAAATATGTAGCTGCAAGGCAAACCAGAGTTCAGCAATCACATTCAGGCCTGTTCAGCACGGTCCCTAAGGATTCCTGAGCGCTGTCTACAGAAAGCCAGTGAAAATATATGACTGTATATTTCTTGTGATAGTAGAGAAAGATTATGCTATGTGTGAGTAATGTTTGAATATAAATAATGGTGTTTTTTGTCCAGGCAAGTAACAATTTAAAAAATTAAGTTTTGGGCAGCTAATTTTAACATGCAAAAAATGATACTAGGTGAATAAGAAATCCCTGTTATCTACTGTATGACTTGTAAATGCTTTATTCAGTACATAAAGTTGCAATAATATTTACCTTCTCCACACAAGTGTTACACGTTAGTTAACATTAATCATAGACACTGCATATTGCAGTCATACTGAGTTTAGTTATTGAAAGAAAAGTAGAAGTTCTTGTTCTGTTACCTCATTGCTCTCATGTATATTATGGTCAATCAACTGAAGCAGAAACCACATAACATTCCTCAGGATGAAAGTTGTGATCAAGTTCCAATGGATTATATTACGAAGACATCTAATGCTCCTAAAATAAAAAAAAAATATATGTTTAAGGTTAAATTTAAGCCTCTAAATCTGTCCCCTGTCCCCTGTGTTCATAGAATGTTTTTTCAACATGTATTCTTCAGCTAGTGTCTTCTTACTGCATAAGAACATTTTCATTTAATGTAAGTTTTTTTGTTTTGAAACAAATGCATACCACTCCAAAAATATGTTTCCTGCAAAATCCATATGAATCACACAAAACTCTTATAAAGGAGAATCTCACACTTTCCTCCATGGTATTCCTGTTGTATGTGAACACTTACAGTATGTATGAAATGAGTGTATATTTAGCAAATGTTTTGAGTGAACACCTCAAAGAAAACAAAACAGTTACTTTAAAAGAAAGAAGTAAATTGCATTACTGTGGACTGGAGTAGTCTTCATAATATCCATCTGGCCTTGACTGAAATTTAATACACATTACAATTTAATCTCATTAGCCTTATGTTTTGAATGTTTTATAATAATCAGAAGTAATGTATAGATTGGGACCTAATCATTTTCATATCAAAGTTTGGGTTTCTTGGGTTTCTAGAGATATAAAACAAAAAGTGACTTATAAAGTGTGTCCAGGCGTTGAGGTCTGTATTAATTCCAATACTCATTTTTGGTCCTGCACTTCCACCAGAGTGAGTGTTTCTTATGGCTTGTTGATGCTTACAATGATGTTTTTTTATATTTTAAAATGTTAATTTCTAGGATGGAGTAAATTTCTTTTGAGAATTAAAAAAGAAATGTTACATTGTTAAGAATATTCTGGCACTGATGCCTGTTCTCCTGTAAAGATTTGTGACCCTTTGCATAATCAGTTCCTTATCTGATACCCCTGGGTAGGACACAGGTTGTGTAGCAGGTGGCATCAAGTCCTTTGTTCTGTGCGTGTTTAAGGAAAATATTGTCTGTGAGTTGCTTGACTCTGGGTAATGCCAGGCTATGTCAGATCAGAAGCTCAAAGGCAAAAAGCTTTGCCTCCTTGTGTTATTCTAGGTAATATACGTTAATAGAGAACATATGTTTTTGGCTGAATGTGATATTGCTAGAACTCTGCCTATTGTTCATAAGTGCTACAATATTAAGATGCTTTAGTAAGCTGTATATTAAGTACTAATCTGCATATTGAATAATATTTCTTATCATGCCTAAGTAAACTAATGTTATTCAGTCATGTCCTTACCTTAAGCACAAAAAAAGCATGAATGCCACAATGAGAGCCCCAACTGATATACAGTGCCCTAGGTAGTTGATAATCAGGGCAATCTTGTAGTGCATAGGGTACTTCCTCTGAAAAAGAAAAAAAAGAAACTCATTACATCAAATACAGTACATTTAATTTTAGTATATATAAAAACACTTTAGAAACACAACCCTGTGATCAAACATTAAATGGGAAAACTATAATATGTGTCAACTATATAAATACATTTTTGACCACAGAGGTATGTAGAATTAGTTATTTGCAAAAGTTGTGTTAAATAACCCTAAAGTAGTAGTGTGCTATTCACTGTCAGTTTGGTCAGAAGCAGATGGCAGAAATAAGAACATTCTTACATTTGATTTGTAAAGCAACACCAGAACATCATCATTATTAGATTGTACTTTATTCTGATATTAAGTACTAAACTTGTATCACAGATCCTCAGTTAGGAGGATACGGCCAAAATAATCTAGAAAGGCTTGAATGACCTACAGTATATCATATAGAGACACACATTTTCTTAGACTAAGGTATTATGCTGACTTACAAATTATACAGTAGCAATATATGTTGAACATACTGTAGGTCTCAAATTATGTTCAGCATAAAACCCTGCAGTGAAATTAACATCTATAACAATAATCCACATCCTCTCTCTTAAATTTGACAGTGATAGGACCCATGGCATTGCAGTATGTTACTACTACCAAAACAAAATGTCTTCCTTGACACAGTTCTGGCTTCTGCTACTTACAGTTATTCTGTGACTATCAAATGATACCCAGGGTTGTGATTCATCAGAAAACACAGGCCTTTACTAATAAATTGGAGTTTTGTATTGTTGTATTGCCTGGTGGTATCTCAGTTTATAACAATAAAAAACAACTCTATGCCAACCTTGTGAAGACAGAGAATATAAACAGAGAGTTTAGTTAGCTCTTACAACAACATCATCTGAAGGCTGGTCATCTCCCCACAAAGTGAGCAACATACCCATTAACTTTGTTGATAAAACCTCTTGCTATGTTTTACTCTAAATAAGAATATATCTGTCTGATGTGGGGATAATCCAAGAACCTAGACCCTGTACTAAGTGACAGTGGTCATAGAATAACAGGAAACCTGAAACTAAACTTCACCTGAAACTAACCACAAAGGATACCCTAGATTAGCTGCCTGAAATTGCTGAACCTTTTTCAGGAGAAAGGTACTGTAACAAACCAAAAGCAAAAGGATATTACAGATGATGGGCTCAAGATATCGAAGGTCACACAGAAAAAAAAAGTTTGTTTTGATCAATGTTACTCCTTTAAATAAAACTCCAAGAGAGATAAGATTTCTGTTATGGAATGAAAGATTGACAGATGCATTGAAATAGGACTGAAAAAACAGGAGGGCTTTCTCTCAAGGAAAACTAAAGACCTATTAATGTGAAAAAGGCTGAACTATTTGTGAACACTCAAGCTGATCAAACACCAACAAAATGAAATGGGGCTATACAGTACAAAATCCAAATATAACAAAGTGCAGTGAAACACTGGACCATGTGACCATTCTGACATTGCAGAGTCTAATCATTTGCTGACATCTGAATTATTGTGGACACGAAGGTGGACATTGTTGCGTCAACAGAAAGAATCATGGTTATAGATGGGTCTGAAAAAAAACATTTGTTATTTTACAAGGACATCTGAAGAAGCAGGACAGAACTGAAAACTACTGTATGTGCTGTGACTAGCTCCTCAGGTTTTGTGTTGGGACTGCTTTTTCCTGGCTGCCTGATCTCTTGCCTTTGTTGCCTGTTTAAATTAGTGACCAACTATGCTGTTTATTCCGAATAGCTGCTAAATCTTTTTTTTTGCTGCAAGCCTATTCTTGAAACAATTAGCCGTGGTTCATTGGGTCTGCTGTTTCCTTCCTCACCTTCTCACTTGATACGCCTGTTAAAATTCTCCCTGTCTTTGTTTTCTGAATTTCTACCATGCACTCTGGAAAATTTGATTTTTTTGGTCACCTTGCAAGCCAGTATTTATGGCCTACAGTGAGTCAAACCGAGGTGTTCTTGATACTGGAGTGACCTAGCCAGATTTGTCTGTGCTGTTCAGGAATCTTGTGAATCTGGACCTCTATTGCCATATTGTACTCTCTTGTTAATGTTTCAGAGGTATTTATTTTCCCAAATGTTGTAAAGCTTGGCATTTTCTTTTCTGATTATTACATAGATCTTCTGATTGTACATTTACTTCCAATACATAGTCTAAAAGAAAAGAAAAAAGTATTACAATTAGTGCAAAACCAACATACCCAATCACCTAATCAATACCATCCCTATTTTCAGGAATGGGTGGAGAGCTTATTAGAACTATACAAATTATATACAGAGCAAAGTACAGAGGAATACTAGAGAAACAAAAACATATTTCAGCTTGTTAGAGACTTAAACCTGGGTTGTAAATTCACCTACTGTCTGAGCAGGACAAGGACTTTGGGCTTGGACAAGGATCCAAAGCACAAAGAAGGGACACTTTGATTGAACATTGCTTTGGTTTATGCATAAATAGGATAATGTCCTTGAGTGTCCCAAATTCTGACTTGACTTCTATTGTCTTCTATTCTGTTCCACAAGATATTGAGTTCACATGTCTGTATACTTAACACAATCAGTGCATTTGTTTTATCTCCTTAGTTTCTTTAATTACATTTATTAAAACTTATCTTACTATTTTAAGTTTCAGTTTGAACATTCAGGTTTCAAATAAATTATAATATTTTAAAAATGTATATAAATTATTTAATAAAATGGTACATGGTACGAAATGGTACAAATATTAAGATTGGAAAATCTTAATATTTCTTGCAAGGTACTGTACATGGGTGCAATTGCATTGAACTGAAATCAAAACTAAAGGAAATGGATGGAATCTGAATTGAACTGAAAAGGGGTGGTATTGAATTAGAATTGAATTAGTTGCTTTGAGCCATCATTTTTTCATGGTTCTGCAAGTCAATCCAGATCTATTTCTATCATGGCCACACAGAGCTAGAATTACAATAGTAAGACAACAAGAAAACAATGTAAAGATGTAGTTAGTGATAGTTTTTTTTTCTTCTAACCAAGATAACATCCATAGTTTTTTTTTCTTCTAACCAAGATAACATGCATAGAATCAATGCCTAGCTGTAGCTACACAGGAAGGGTGTCAGGACATCTGATTGTCTTCTGTTTTTCAGAAGTACTTATATTTGCAAATGTTGTAAAACTTACCATTTTATCCAGATAAAATTGTTTTGTATCAAAATGTGTTATACTGCACAATATATGCAGTTTATTAATATATACAATATACACTACTGTATGTCATACATGTAAACACACTATATCAACACTGCTAGTATTGCTAATGCATTCTGTAGGGAGATCATTCCTGATACTAGGTTTTTAATATTTTCACTTCGATAGTGAGTTGCAATTCATGATGAAAAAGTATAATTCTTTGATCTGTATACTGTACTGTATATAAAGTATATGTTGACTAAAGTACTGTAGTGCTATAATAACTTTCATTTTTCACCCTATCTGTAAAGATTAGTAGGTAAAGAAAAAATAAAATGTGAATTTAACACAAAACGCAATTTTTCTTGTTATGTGTCCATAAAAGCGAAAGTTGCTAAAACACTACATAACACTCAATACAAAATTTATAGCACCAAATGTTTCAATTTTTTCCTGCATGAATGAGAGCACGTTATTGTGTTATTGTGCAACTTCAGTACTGCTGCATTCTGTATGCATTTATTTCAAGAGTTTCATCTCTGTGATCTGTGGCTTGGAACAATAGTATTATAGAACTAATCATGGATTTTGCTGCAGACTGTTAAAGAGGGTGGTGTTTTAAGTGATGTTCTGTTTAAAATAGTGTTGCAAGGTTACATCAGGTTTACACACTAATTGCAAACTGTGATGATGTTGTCTCTTGAGATGATTTAAGAAGGTTGGGTAGATATAAAGATTAGCTACTGTAAGTGATAAAACTTGAAGATTTCAGGCCTGAGTCTCATATTTATTAGACTACAGACCTAAAGCATTCATCATGAAGATCAATTTGACTTTCATCCCCAAATGACACATTGTCACAGATGATAAATCATGTGTTTCATCAAAGAATACAAAAGAATAAAAAAGATTAAGCAAGCCCAATGGAGTCTGTCACAGGGCATAATCAGTAGTGTAATGGCCTAAGACTTTAAACACATTTACAGTATACCTGGGAACAAGTGATACTGTAGGTTTATTCCATGTTGAAAAAAGAAGAAAGGAGACACAAGGTCTAAATGTTCCTTTGCAGCCTACACATGCTGACGAGCTACCCACCTGAATATTTATACTGTACCTAGAAAAATAATCATGAGCACATTCTCTTGGGCATGTTTGTATAATAGCAGCTAGCTTTCCCTGCTAAAATGAGCATAATGAATAATTCTGTCAATAACAGTATCATGAATATTCAGTCAATATACATTAACAACTTACACTTTAAAATATAGTACATTAATATATATATATAATGGACAGTAGATCATAGTATCTCATAGGCAATTAAACGTTTCCTAATACGATATTTCCAAACAGGGCCTGAGTAAAATATCTACAATTTTATTTATTTCCACATTGTATTTATTTTACAATTGTCTCAGCACAGAAAAAAAACAACTTATCTTTATATTGAACTGACATTTTGGAAATGTCTAACAAGAGCTTGAATAGGTTCAAATCAATGGTAAATTGGGCAAAACAAAAGATGTGTCAATGGAGGGATCTAAAATAAACAAATGCAGGGCATTGAGCCATATGCCCTCAGAGACAATAAATTGTTAAGTGGACAAAAAGGAAAAAGTCCAAATAAATTCTTTCACTTCTGCTTTCTTATGTATAAAACCTTTCTGCCTTGCAACAGCCTCACTGGTTTTTCGTTATAAATGAGAGAGGCTTAAAGGGGAACTATAGTCCCAATTTCTCAAAGTGGTTATAAAATCTCAGTAACAAAATAAATTAATTGATAGTAAGATAAATTATACAATCTCAAATTAAATGTAAAATTGTGAACTTTGTGAAAGTATTGTACGGTTGCCATGTTGTCACAAACAGACGGGAAACCGCTGGTCTCGCCACAGGTGAGAGCAAGAGTTTGCATGAATCATGATGTGAACTAACCACTGTTTATATTCATTGTAAACTATTGAAATCACATTTTGAAATGTGTTGTATCAGAAGTACACCATGTTGCTGTGTAAAGACAGCTTTTAATGCAGAATGTAAAGAAATGATTTTGTTCTAGGGATTTATTTAAATACACCAAGAGGAAGCAAGAAAGTGGAGTTAACTGTGGGAAAAACAGATGTTTCAGGAAATTAAATTCAATTTCTGCATCTGGCCATTATTTTAAAATGTGTACTGTCATACACTTGATAATAAGTTTATACAGTGATAATATGGTGGAGTAAAAAGAGGTCATGAATATTTCAAAAATAAAAAATGCCTACCTTTTCTTCCAAGATTGCTTCACAGTTGGAGTAGTTGCTCTTAAAAGCCCATGTCCCATTTTCTAAACATTCCCTGTATGCATTTCCTGCAAAAGAAAAAATATATACTTATTTTGGTATGATGTGCTTTGTCTGCTAAATGAACTACATTTGAAAAGAACATTTGATATGTTTTTTTTAAATGTGTTTTTTCAAAGTAGCTCGATCAAATGTGTGCAATTTCAAAAAGATTTAATAAATTGCTAACTTCCATGGAAGCATTTTTTGTTACTGTTCATTCTTCACAATAAATGTAATTTGTGGAGTATTAAATTCTGAATAATGGCCATTTTTGTATATTTCACTTGCATGTTCAAACCTCCTTTTTGTGTTCAATTTACAAATTTCACAAGTATAGCAATTCTACAAAATAAAAACTATCAATATACAGTAAATATAGGAGAATAGTAGGCCTAATATATATATATACTGTATATATATCCATCTCCTTTATATTACACTAATTATATGACCCAAATGTGAACTTAATGTACAGTACTGGCACTGTTTTCATGCAGATTAATTCTCAACCCATATGCAGCTTGGACTGTGATAGATTTATCTATAGTCACCACTTCAAAAAAGTCTAAAACAACTGTTGAACAAAGACTGTGGTTTTTAAATCCTTGATGCCTATTCTTTATAATCCTGATACCATCAGAGATGCAAATCTAGTTTAACTCTCTTTATAACAATATGTATCAGAAGTAATATATTTTTGGATGGTTCCAGTTTTGTTGCCCTTTTTTGGAATGGTCAATGCACTTTCAATTTTCCAAATGCTAGGTACAACTTCATGTGTGTAATAATTTCAGAAAGGTGAAGATAAAAGTGCTTTCTTATATTTTGTAGTAGTGTGGGGTTTTTTTTAGGACGGTAGACCTCTGAAATGCCTTGTCTGTACTATTCATTCTGTAAATATAGTAACTTGCATGTTGTATGTTTTGTTGTGTGTAGTGTAGTGTTCATATTGTTCTTGTTATAAACATTTGTTTAGCCATCTGTGCCTGAATTATTACACTTTTCAGCAAAGCTGTGCCAGAAAACAAAGAATTCACGTGCCTCTATTTATACCAACCGCTCTGGTATACTCTGGATAAATTTTTACAAGTTGGGTGTTATGAATATTTATTTTACTTATTGACTAAACCTCTCGGTCAGTTTGTACATATTAACCGTTTTCGTAATCCCCCAATGTAACAATATGCTGTAGTTCTGAGTTTGAATTATGTTCCAGCATTGCATCCAAAATAATATTGTATCATGACTCTAAAAATGTATTAAAATCCTTTGCAAAACTCACAGTAAATTAATAAATGAAATAAAAAATATAATATATTTTCTATATAACGTAATATAAGCAAGAGATGTAGATTATATATTTTAAATCCCATGGTAGTTTCGACAAACATGTCAAACCATTAAGTATGTTTTAACTCCATTCAGTTCTCTCCCAAACATTTAAAATATTCAGTGCAACAGCCAGTATATAATTCTAAATTACAGAAGAGTGCAGATAATGAGTGGGCAATGACAGTTCTGCAATTATGTATCAAGAGAGCTTTGTTCTGTGCATCACTTCTAAATGTACATCTTTCAATGCTTTGAAAGATGTTTTCAACATTTAAAGAATGAAGAATTTCACAAAAAACTTTAAAATTTAGAAATTTACTTGGCCACTTATATTATTTTAAAAGGTTAAAACATAACCTTTTAAGTATAGTGGTGGTGTTTAATAATAACAACAGATAAAGACTATATTACTGAAATAGATTATTGAATTGCACACACCTATCTTAAGGCTCCAAAGTCTTATCATTTTTTCATTCTTTTTTACATGTCAGCATGGAATGAACTTCTATTTGTTCCTTTGGAGCTCACACTTTGACACTGTTCTCTATTCTAAACAGAAGGTACAGTAGATGAAAGGGAATGCAGTTGCAACAAATCTGCCACTGTAGGCCACTAAAAGGCCTCTACTTTTTGTAAATAGACACAGCAGGTTATAAAATAAGATAGATAGAGGAGTTTATTTGCCATATGTACATGTTCGATGGTATTCTTATTCGCGCTGTGCCTCAAGACATGCACAGTATGACAGACAACACAGTACAACAGATAACACCATACAATGTATATTTCACAGTATATTACAGAACTGTAAATAATAATGACAGTATGTACAGAGCAATAAATATGTGGTAGCCAAAGCGCAGAGTGCAGTGGTGTATTGAATTCAGAGGCATTGCATAGTTAACTGTTGAGGATACACACTTCCGTAAGGTAGAAGCTGTTCTTAGGTCTAGTAGTCAGTGCTTTAATGGTGCAGTACCACTTGCCAAGGGCAGTTTAGAGAACAGCTTGTGACTGGGATGGTTGGGATTCTAAATAATGGATTGGGCTTTATTACGACAGTGGATGATGCAAATTTATTACGGGTTTATTACGACAGTGGATGGTGCAAATTTCATTGATTGATGGTAAGACACATCCTATAATACTACTGTATGTGCCATTGCCACAACCCTTTGTACAGCGTCTTTGTCATTTTGGTAGTATTGCCTTACCATGCAATGATGCCACTAGTGGGGACACTTTGTGTGGTGCCGAGTTCAAAGGTCATGGGTTGTTGCTTCCCCTTACCACATTTCTTTATGCACCACAAAAGTGGAATTGTTGTTGTGCCTTTTCAAAACTGGCTACAGTGTTGTGAGACCAGGTCAAGTTGGGGGAAATTTGTCTGAGGAATCTGAAGCAGCTGACAATTCCCCCTCCTGTGCCATTGATGTTGACTGGGGTATGACTACCTTTGTGTCTCCTAAAGTCCACAATGAGTTCTTTGGTCTTGTTCACATTCAGAGTCAGATTGTTGTCAAGGCATCATCTTGTAAGATGTTCTACCTTATTCCTACTGTATATGTAGTCATTGTTGCTGCTGATCAGCCTATAACTCTGGTGTCATCAGTGAACTTACTGTAACAATGTGGTTACTGCTGTAAATGGTTGTAGTCATAGGTCTTGCATTCTTGTCCCTGTTTGCTCTGTGCATGAGAAGCAAAGTCATATACATGTGTTTCCACTGAAGTCAATCCAATCTAAAGTCCAAGAGTGTTTCTTGATAGTGGGTGATGGCTGCACATGTACTGTATGTTTTACATAAAAAACAAGACATAACACAAAAATAAACAACATAAACAAGAGAGCTACATACAAGATGTGACCAAGGAATGGCACCATCTTGCCAACAATTATCACATTATTGGTTGTAGAAATGCATATTCACACATGAGAGTAATTAGTTTTGTTTAATATAAACAAAGTTTATTTAGTATAAGTATTTAGTATTTAGTATAGGTTTGAATAGTGCTATTAATGGTTGTTTTTTGTGGAGCATTCTTTGTTTCAAGACACTGCAATAAAATCATCTTTAAGCCTTTTAATGTCCATTGTGGGACTTTTATGACTGCAGTTCTCTGGGATGTTTTAGCCAAGGGGGGTTTGACACAAACCTGGACATATAGTATATGATTGTGTATTTTATTTGTAAGAAGGCTGTTACTCTCTAGAGGGGTGATACACAGAGATGTCACAATTCATATTATTTGAATGGACTCCCTTTTCTTGAGATGCAGTAGATAAGTTTGTTTTTATTACTAAAGTAGTACTTTCTGAAAATCTATAGAAGAACTGGGACCTGCTGTCACAATTCCCGTGGAGCTGGGGCATTGAAAGATTGGTCTTGTTACCATGGACACAAGGTCTGAATTATATATCTCATTACCACACTAAAACCAAAACCATTTTACAAGTTTACAGTTTTGTTTTGTTTTGTTTTTTGTTGGGGTTATCTCTCCTTGTTTACAAACACTGCTACAAACTCTTTGTTTGTACTACCATTTCCACAGACTTTTCCTGGACATGTTTTGTTGCATGGTGGCGTTACATCCCAATATTCATGTGCTCTGTATGACTAAGAATCAAAAACTTTCAAAAGTAACACTTAGTACAAGGAAATAATGCCTGTAGAACCCACTAATCCATTACAATAGATATTACTGCAAAACACCAGAATGTCTACTGTTCATGGTTTTCTGAATTTCATGTACATTACCTACATTTTCTCTAGTACACTGTATATGTGTATGGATCTCTACCACATAATCTTACTTACTGTATATAAAGGTGAAACAAATCCTCTGTATAATGAAATTAATTTGCTATATATTTCACTCTCATTTGAGGCTTTGAAAGTGCTGGCACCCACACATGAGTTAGTTCCTTTTGTGTTTGAAAATCAAAAGATTCCAATTGAGGCGGGGGAGGACTGAAACATAACCAAACTAGATGCATGTACAGTATAGAGCCCAGCTCCAATAAAATTACTTTTTGTTGTGTAAATCAAATATGTTTTGTATTCTAACTTGTAAGCTTCTACTAGACTTTTTTTTTCATGTATAAGGTGGTATCTACATTAGTGACAAGTTATTAAATTTCTGTTTTTCAGATACTGTAAAACAAAAAAAGGAGGGCTGCACATTGACCCAGTGGTTAGCATTTCTGCCAATGTTGGGACTCTGGGTTCAATTCCACTGTCTACATGGAGATTATATGTTCTCCCTGTATTTGTGTGAGTTTCCTCTTCAGTCCAGAGACATACAGGTAGATTAATTGGCTTTTGGAAAAAATGGTCCTGGTGTGAATGTATGCATCTCTGTGTTTGTGTCTACAGTATGTCCCCCCTAAAATTGATTGGTGTCCCATTCAGGGTGTATCCTGTCTTCTGCCTGTTTCTTGATAGATAGATAATACTTTATTAATCCCGTAGGGAAACTGATGTGTTACAGCAGTCCAGCCCAAGACAAGCAAAACAGACATCAGAATAGTTATAAAACAAAAGACAACAAAATAAATAAAAATAAATAAATACATAGGTGTGTCCAAAATGTGCTGATCATAGTCACTGTAAAAACAATAAAATATGTGCAAAATGTGCATAGGTTTATACAGACTGATTGTCCAAAAAGTACAATGGAGCAAACATGCTGTC